TTCATAGGTATACCTTTTCAGAATAAGGAAATACTTCTATTCCTAGTTTGATGAGAATTTTGATCAAGAATGAATGTCAAAAGCTTTTCCAAACCTCTTGAGATGACCATATGATTTTCCTTTTTGTTCTGTTAATATACTAAATTACACTGATTTCCATTTGTAAGATAAAGCCATATTGTTGTTTTCATTGTGAAAATTGAAGACTTTTGCATCTGTGTTCGTAAGGGATATTGGTTTATAGTTTTTATTTTCTTAAAATGTCTCTACCCTGCTTTTAACAAGGCAATGCTGTCCTCACAAAATGAATTGGAAAGAATATCCTGCTCTCCAACTTTCTGGAACAGTATATAAAGAACTGGCTTGATTTATTTCTCAAATGTCTGGCAGAATTCAAAAGTGAAATCATCTGAGCCTGTAGGTTTCTTTGCGGGAAGGTTTATAATTACAAATTTGATTTCTTCAAATAATAGGACTATTTAGGTTATCTGTTTCTTTTTTTTTTAAAGATTTTATTTATTTATTTGAGAGAGCGAGAATGAGAGAGAGAGAGAGAGCACATGAGAGGGGGGAGGGTCAGAGGGAGAAGCAGTCTCCCTGCTGAGCAGGGAGCCCGATGCAGGACTCAATCCCGGGACTCCAGGATCATGACCCGAGCCAAAGGCAGTCGCTTAACCAACTGAGCCACCCAGGCGCCCCATGTTATCTGTTTCTTCTTGAGTAAGCTTCAGTAGTTTGCTAGTTTCAAGGAATTTGTGTATTTCTTCAAAAGTTGTTGAATTTATTGGCAGAAACTTACTTGTAATATTTGTTATCTCCTTTCCAGTTTTTTCTGTCTAAAAAGGTCTTTATTTTGTCTTGCCTGGGGATAAAATTCTAGGTTGCTGGTTGCTGCATTTTTCCCCTCTTTGAGTACTTTAAAGCTCTTGCTTCATTGTCTTCTCCCTAGCAAAGGAGGCATTCCTTTATGTATTTTTTTTCCTCTGTTGCTTTTAACATTTTCTTTATCACTAACTTTAAGCAATTTGATTACTACATGCTCCAGTGCAGTTTTTGCACTTGGGTTTACTGAATTCTCAGAACTATGGTTTTAACAGTTTTCACCAAATTAAGGAAAGCTTCAGCTGTTATTTCTTCATCTCTTCTTTTAGTCAAACCTCCCCTCTCGAAGACTCCTATTACTTGGATGTTAACCACCTGAACATAAACCACGGCTCACTTATGATCATGTTTTTTTTACCCCCAGACCTTTCCTCTATGTTCATTTTGGCTAGTTTCTACTGCTATGTCTTCAAGTTCATTAGTCTTTCTTTCAGCAACATGTAACTGTAATTAATTCCATCAAGTGTATTTCATCTTAAATATTGTAATTTTCATCTCTAGAAATTTGATTTAGATACCTTTTTAATCTTCCATGTCCTCTATTTAACTTGTTCAATCTTTCCTCTAGCTCAGGGATCGCAATACAGTTTATAAACCAAATCTGATGCAACCCTCTTTGTGACAAAAATTGTACTCCAGTGTACAGACATGTCCATTGGGTTACACGTGGTCTATGGCTGCTTTTTAACAAGAGTTGAGTAACTACAGCAGACGCTACATGGACCACAAAACTAAAATATTTAGGTGAACTCCTGATGTTAGCATATCGAACATACAGAAGACAAATATAATAACTGCTTTAATGTCTTTGATTCTATCATGTATGTCATTTCTGGGTTGGTTTTGAGTTTGCTCCTCATATGGATCATATTTTCCTGCTTCTTTGTATGACTGGTGTATTTTGATTAGATGTTAAGACTCAGTAAATCTTACTTTTGAGTATTTGATATTTTTCTATTCCTGCAAATATTCTTGAGCTTTGTTCTGGTATACATTTAAGTTACTTGGAAAGAACCTGATCCTTTCAATCTCGTTTTTAAGTTTTGTTAGGTAAACCCAGAGCAGCATTAGTGGCCAAATTTTGCACCACTACTAACGGAAAACCCTTCTGTGTAGTAGTACTCTAGTAGATGCGTCGTGAAGTATAATATTTTTCCACTTTAGCCACTGGGAACAGGCAGTTTGTAGTATGAGCTTCAGGAAATTTTTTCTCTAATTCTTCAACTTGGTTTTTAATCCCCAGCCTTGGGTAGCTTCCCAACACATGCGTGCTGATCAATACTCAGCTGAAGACGAGAGAGGACCTTCTGCAGATCTCTGGATCTCTTTCCTCTCCAGCTCTCTGACCTGGGAACTCTAGCCACCTTGAACCCCTAGATACCTAGCTCCATCTCTTCAGCTCAAGGTGCTTACCAGGCTCCACCTGGATTCCTCCTCTCTATGTCATGTCGTAGAAACTCTCTAGGTACTAAGCTAGGGTAATTGTGGAGCTCACCTCATTTGTTTCCTGTCTCTCAAGGATCACTGTCCTTTCTTGCCTGCCATCCATTATCTTGAAAATCGTTATTTTATATATTTTGTCCAAGTTTATAGCAGTTTCAGTTTGAAGAGTAATTACAGTTCCTCTTACTCCATCTTGGCCAAAAGCAGGAGACTTAAAACCTCCTAAAATTTTCCAAGCAGGGAAAATTGCTTAAAGCATAAATGGAAAACCATGATAAAGTAAACAGGACCTAATTATATTACTGTATATATTTAAGGAAAGGACAATTTCCTTATGATATTTATTATCACCACATTGATTGCTACTTTTACAGAGGTATCCATTAAAAGCAAGTAATTTATTCATCAAAATATATTTTATGGTTAGGAGTCATTCCATAACCAATATATTACTACTGGTAATAAAATAAAAATATCTATTAAATTGCAACTTTCAAAATGTCTACACATGTGCTTAGAATTTCTTCACGATATTTACAAACATGTAATTGTATTTAATGTCTTTAGAAATCTTTTTAAATTTAAGTAATTTCAGACTTACAGGAAAGTGGCAAAAGTAGTACAAAGAATTCCTAGTCCCTTTCCTCGACTCTATTTTTGTTTTTAAACTAATGCATTAAGAGCTCATTGTAGACATAAAGCCCTTATAACCCAAAATAGTTCAGTGTTAATTTCCTAAAAACAAAGACATGCTCTTAAACAAGCATAATGCAATTATCACTGATACAAATACTTGTATATACAGATTTTATTCAAATGTGCCAATAGTCCCACAAACGTCCTTTATGTCCTTTATTTGGGGGGTGGAAGGCAGTGTTGAGAAACTAATGCTCCTGGACCAAATCAGGATAGCCACCAGTTTTTGTAAATTAAGTTGAGCTGGAATACAGATATACCATTCACTTATGTATTGATATCTATGGCTGATTTGGGGATATAAAAACTGAGAGGAGAAGTCACAATAGCCTCAGTATGGACCAAAAAGTGTAACATGTTTATTATCTGGCCAATTATAGAAAACATTTGCTAACTCCAGCTTTAAAACAAAAGAAAAATTCTTCTTGACCCAGGATTTAGTTGAATTTAGGTGTCATGTCTTTTTGGTCTTCAGTAATCTGCTATTTCTCAGTCTTTGTTTTTCATGATCCTGGTAAGTTTGAAGATCAAATGCTGTTTATTTTATAGAATGTCTCTCATTTGTAACTGTTTGGTGTTTTCTTATGCTTAGATTTAGCTTATGCATTTTTGGCTAGAACATCACAAAAATGACATTGTGTCATCCTCCTCAGGATGCACATGATGTTTATTTGTCCGTTACTAGTGATGTTAATTTAGATCACTTCATTAAGGTAGTGTCTGCCAAGTTTCTTCACTGTCATGTTACTACTGTTCACTTTATAATTAATACATACTTTCTGAGGATATGCTTAGAGACAAAGTAACTATTTGTTTCTCATCAGACTTTAAACCAATAGTTTAAGCATTCACTGATGATTTTTACCTGAAACAATTATCACTGTAGCAGTTGCCGAAGTGTAATTTCCTAGTTCCATTATTCCTTCTACGTTTATTAGGTGGAATTCTGCTATAAGAAAAAGAATTCCTCTCCCTCTACTACAGGATCATTTCTTTAACTCAGTGTAGACTTTTAAACTCTATTTTATTCTACTGGTTCTTATCTATTACTATCATTATTTATTTTGAGGATTAAAGTGTCCATGATTTGGCTAAAGGGAACCTCTTCAAACTGGTTCCCTTTCTGTGTCCTTCTGGCATGTCCCCATCATTCTTTGTGTGCAACAGCTTTTTAATAATAACAATAATGTGGAAATAACCCCAGTGGTCATCAGTGTGAAATATTAAAGTAGTGTGAAGGCAATGAAAAACTATGGAGACGTGAAAGAGAACAAAGTAGAAGATGTACAGTAAGTGGAGTTCAAGGTCCAGAACAATGATAGAGTATGATGCCAGACAAGAAAGATAAAAAAAAAAAAGACAAGCATATGCTTATATACGCACGTAATTCTCTTGAAAGATACTAAGAATACAGGATTAACATTAACTCTAGGATGTAACTGTGCAACTAGGTGTCCTACCTTTTATTTTACAACTGCTGATTGCTGAAAAATTTAAAAATAATTTTCAAGACTAATACTTTCAGTTAACATTTGTAATTAAAATGTATATTGTAAATTAGAACACAATGTAGTATTTCCTTAAAAGTGAGTAAAATTTTATATTTTCTTTAAAATTCTTTTCTAAAGCATTTATTAAATATCCTCAGGTGCTACCTATAATCAATAAATTGTGACTAGCTAAATGCAGCTAGATTGGCTAGATGTAGGAAGCTATCTTTACATTGTCACCCTTGTTATATTAACTATATAATACTCAAGATTCTTAAAAGTTTTTACCTTCCCCTTTGAACTATATCCTATTATCCTCTTTTTGGTGAGGTGGGGGAGGGAGGATGTGGGGAAGGATGGGAATAAGCTTATGATCTAGATACCAGTATTTGAATAACTTCTTTTCAAGAGCACCTAATACAGTTTTTAAGATGACAGGATCTGATATTTCCATGAAAGGTTTGTGTGAAAGACTAATACAATGCTTACCTAGTGAGTCGTTTAGGTGGAGGCCGCTCACCAAATTTTCTGGAAAAAATAAGAAAAAAAATAAATATATAGGCTGTACGACACATTCTGTAGTAAGCTTTTTAGGCACCATGAAATTTCCTTTATGGCTTATATTTCAACTCTACTAAAGAACAGCATAAAGGAAAATCCTCTAATAACCATCCATGCCCAGAAATAACAAAATACATTATAAATAAATAAAATCTTTAAAAAAAATTAAAAACAGAAATTCCTCATGACCCAATAATTCCACTACTGGGTACCTACCCGAAGAAAGTGAAAACACTAATTCAAAATGATATAAGCACCCTTATGTCTATTGCGGCAATACTTGCAATAGCCAAGACATCAAGCAACCTAACTGCTGACAGACAAACAGGTAAAGAAAATATGGTGTGTGTGTACACACACACACACACACACACACACACACACACACACACACACAGGAATATTACACAGACATAAAAAAGGGAGATTTTGCCATTTGAGAAAACATAGATGAACCTAGAGGGTATTATGCTAACTGAAATAAATCAGACTGAGAAGACACCCCTATGATGTCACTCGGATGTGAAACCTAAAAACAAAATAAACAGAATCAGACTTATAAATATAGAGAATAAACTGATGCTTGACAGAGGGAAGGGGTATGGACGGGGGGAATAGGCAAAATGGGTAAAGGGGAGAGGGAGATACAGGCTTCCAGTTACGGAATGAGTAAGTCATGGGAATAAAAGGCACAGCATAGGGAATATAGTCAATGATACTCTAATAGTGTCATATGCTATCAGAGTGTAGCTACACTTGTGAGTTCAGCGTAACACAGAGAAGTTGAATCACTATACTGTACACCTGAAACTAGTGTAACCTTGTGTCAACTATATGAAAAATCCTAAATGTTGTCTACTTAGCTAGCTCATACTGTATGGCCCTTCAGAAAGAAATATGCTAAGTGGACAAAAAAGCATTTCAACTGGTTGTAAGAGGGCAAAGAGAAAAGCCTGAGCAAGGACAAGAAAGCATAATTCAGGCTTGAGTTTGAAGACAGCATGAAGGTTAAGAAAAATGCTCTAGAGTAAGATCGGCCAAGTTCAAATCCATGATTCAGATCATGCCATAGGACTGATGTTACTTGACTCCCTAGACCTCAGTTTCCTCACGTGTAAAATGAGCACAGTGACTGTGTTTACCTCAGAGGGATACTGAAGGGATTAAATGTGTCAATATATAGAAAACACGTAGAACAGTGCCTGGTACACAGTAAGAGCTCAACAAATGTTAGCAGTTATTACTGTATTTTAGTTATAAATCAGTAAGCCAAAATTATGAAATAAAGGAATTAAGTGGGATGCTAACAAGAATAAGTATAGAGGAAGAAGAAACTAATTCCTACGTGATGCCCTATTTCCTCTGAAATAGGAAATGAGGTCTTTGGAGAGATGGTGAAAGCACAACCCTTGGAAAAGGACCAACAGAATTTTGTTTTCTTTTTTAAGCAGATAGCAGTTATAAACAGGTTAAATGACTTGTTCAGTCACAGTTACAGGTTGTGAAGCCTAATTTGACTTAAGACTTCTCCACTGTATTTGATGTCCCACAAAATTATCCACTTTGATGATAAAAGTCTTAAGAATCCAATACAGTTCATTTTGTTGTGTAACTTAATGCTATATGACATTGTTTATGAACTCACAATTTATAAACAGTAGGTATCTGTGACTATGAATATTTTTGTTAACCCTGAAATACTGAAAAGTGACTTATTTGAAATAGCCTAAAAATATGAGTAAATAATACAAGCTTTTGTTGGAAGAATTATTTATTAATTCTTTGATTTTACCCTATAGGATATTAAATTTTAAAAACCAAGAAACAAAAAACACAATGTTTTGGCAGGAACATGAGCAAGGCCACTGAAGACCATTGGTTTTAAAACACTGAACTACTGGAAAATCTGTGGAATTCGGTTATGGAATTAAAGGCAAAAATCTATTCCTGAATCTTTTTCCACAGGAAAGAATTTTTTGAACCTCTGAAGCTGATTAAATGTACCATTACAGCATGTGACTAAAATGTAACTGCCTCACTAGGTGAGATGTAATGTACAAAAAACCCAAGAAGTTTAAGACAGCCTTTAAAATACTTCTTTGTATATATATGTAAGAGCACAGTTATACATTTTTTCTAATTGTATTTTATTATGTATGTTGATCACCATACATTACATCATTAGTTTGTGATGCAGTGTTCCATGATTCATTGTTTGCGTATAACACCCAGTGCTCCATGCAGTATGTGCCCTCTTTAATACCCATCACCAGGCTAACCCAACCCCTCACCACCCCCTCTTTATAAAAAAGAAGCAAAGTGAGACGTGGCCAGAACCTACTCAAGGGGTTAAAATGGTGAAAATTTCAGAGAGACGTAGTTAACAAATGAAATAAAGCTTTTCAACGAAGATCATGACACGGTACTCTTTGTACTAACTACTAATAATTCTAATCATCAAGCACCCTTTGAGATCTAACCTAAGTTTGTTACAGGTCTAGTAAGAGATCCACTGCACTCAATTGAAATGGTTTGTTTCTTGGTGCTCTGAAATGCTTTCAAAATTAGATTAACAACTAAATATTGACTAAAGTATCTGTCTCTCTTTTTAGAAATACCTGTTAATGAAGTGAACAATTACAGAGAATGCCCGTGCAGTACAGCTCCTGCCCCCATAGAAATGTGCAAGAGAACTCAACAGTGAGCATGCCGAGCTTGAACAGCACTTAAAATTTAGCATCATTCTATCTAGGTGCCATCCTAAGGCTAGGTATCTTACAAATGTTAATCAGATTAAATTGCTTCTTCATTATATAATAAAGCATCTCCAATAACTGCTGTGTGCCATCCCAGTCCTTTCTTTAATAATATGTGACCACAGTCCTATTTATCTCATTAAAACTAATGGTTACTGTATCTACTACAATGGGGTTAGAGTAAGAAAAGGGGTTTTCTCAGAAAAGTCATGAAATGCTTTAGTAAGTTCACAATGCAAAATTCTGAAGGCTGCAATTAAACTAAATTCTAATTATTTAATAAAATTCACAGGTCTACATACTTGAAAATGTCAAGTTATAACAAGGTATTGTATGGATCCTGCACATAACAAGATCTATTTTCACTACTAATCTGATATACAACTAATACATAAAACTTCAAGAATTATCTACTGCAAAAAGGTCCATCTTTAAACATGAATGACTCAAAATTCATGATGTAATATTTATATCATGTATTCAAAATACTCACTTTTCAGCAGAAATGACTATAGTCCATTATCAATTTCTCAGAGATTGATTATAATTTAAACATTAAGCTCTGTCTCTCCCTCTTTCAACAGGGAATGGTGGGATAGGCAGGCACAAATTTTTTATCATTATTTGCAATCTATCTGAAAAACAAGGTGTCTACTGACATGATCCGTGTTAACAACTGAACCAGAAATAAGCTGGACCAACCAATTTTAGACCACTCTTACCTAAGATGCTTTTCATATAAGGTTTATGGTGTATTTAACAATAAAAAATAATCTAAATCTTTAAGTACCCAAAGGATGGTTTTAATTTTACAAAATACTGAGTTAATTCTTCATCGTAACAAAGAATATAAGGTTGTAGGATCATTTGATAGTATAGGTTGTCATCTGCATCAAGTTCCTCATATTTTATGCATGCTGTATTATGTAAAATGTCATTCTGATTAAATGAATAATCAATACTGTTTATATTTAAGGAAAAAAGTTATGACTCTGGCTTTTCTTTTTAAGTAACGAACAAAACTTAGCTTATACACAGCTGATTATACCCTAATGCATGTCCTTTCCTTCTTGTTCTGTTCTGTGTATTTTCCCCTCAGACCCATATTGGCGAATGAAACACAAAAATCCATGTCATTCACCTAACAATGCTCTTATAATACTATAGCTCAGGAAAAAAAAAATTTTTTTTAAAGATTTATTTATTTGACAGAGACACAGCGAGAGAGGGAACACAAGCAGGGGGAGTGGGAGAGGGAGAAGCAGGTTTCCCACTGAGCAGGGAGCCTGATGCGGGGCTCCAACCCAGGACCCTGGGATCATGACCTGAGCTGAAGGCAGATGCTTAACCGACTGAGCCACCCAGGCGCCCCTATAGCTCAGGAAAATTTATGTGATCTAAAGTATATATGTCATAAGTATAATTTTAAAGTAGCAAATTCATTTTGCTTTAACTGCACTAGCTTTCCCCTTCTAAGATAACAATGATCTTTTATTCAAAATAGGAAAAGCTGGAGAAAATGTTAATTACTCTATTTTCATTGATCTGAAGTAAAAGGATTTTTAAAAAGCTACCATCAATCATTAAACATAGCGTTTCCTACCTATAAACAGTACTGCAGTTCCCAGGTATCCTCCAATGAATTAGAATTTCCAAATAAGTAAAAACCTCTATACACATTACACTTATATTACACACTTCCTTTTTAAGCTCACAGTGGAGATGCAATATCGTTTTCTCCTATAACACAGATACATTTCCTTCTATATTTACCAGTCTGTTAAGAAAGTGCATGACCACAAACGTATTGAGGACAAACAAGATAAAAATTTTATCATAACTTCACCATCTTAACACCTTTTCTACCTAACAGATGATTCACATGAGAAAATCAAGTCAAAAATCAGAAAGTGGGGGAGAGGATACAAGAAAAATCTTTTCTGAATATAGAACAATTTGGTAATACGTTGCTAAAAAAGCCCCAAGAACCTGATGCTATCTAGTTTTACCTAGTTAACAATATTAGAACATCAGTTTTAAAAACACAGAGCTCGCTGGAAAAGCAAGCACAAGTCATGTGGGAAACTCTTCTGCCCTAGGGTTGTGGAACTAAAAGCAATTTCTATTTTTCTGTATTTCATAAATTTCTGCTTAAACAGAAATGAGGATAATGAGATTGAAATAAATGAAGGCAAGAAACACTGGTGCAGT